CACTGCTTAGGTGCTGGTGTATCCAAGATGGCGGCCTCCATGGTGGCATGCTTCCCTCCCTAGATGCCTGTCCTCCTGATATGACGGCCCCCAAGTGCCGTACGCCAAGATGGCGGCGCCCATGTGCCGTACAGATGCTGGTCCATCCAAGATGGCGGCGCCCATCTTGCCGCTTCAGCGCATGACGTCCTCTCAAGGAGCCGTCACCCTTCCTGGGCGGGGCTTGCAGTGGCGCCAGCCAATGGGGTGGCGGCCTTAGCACGGCGAGCGCGTTGCCACGGCAACGCGCACCGGAAGTGCGTGTGCGCAGAGGCAGGTCGTGGTCCGCAGCGCCGGGCACTGGAGGTGGGGGCAATGGGGCAGCAATGGGGACAATGGGGGTGCAATGGGGCTGCAATGGGGCAGCAATGGGGCTGCAATGGGGCTTCAATGGGTGCCCATGGGGCGGCAATGGGGCTTCAATGGGTGCCCATGGGGCGGCAATGGGGGGTAATGGGGCAGCAATGGGGCAGCAATGGGGCTGCAATGGGTGCCTATGGGGCGGCAATGGGGGGTAATGGGGCTGCAATGGGGCTGCAATGGGTGCCCATGGGGCGGCAATGGGGGGCAATGGGGCAGCAATGGGTGCCCATGGGGTGGCAATGGGGCAGCAATGGGGCTGCGATGGGGCTTCAATGGGTGCCCATGGGGCGGTAATGGGGGGCAATGGGGCAGCAATGGGTGCCCATGGGGTGGCAATGGGGCAGCAATGGGGCTGCGATGGGGCTTCAATGGGTGCCCATGGGGCGGTAATGGGGGGCAATGGGGCAGCAATGGGGACAATGGGGGTGCAATGGGGCTGCAATGGGGCAGCAATGGGTGCCCATGGGGCAGCAATGGGGCAGCAATGGGGCTGCAATGGGTGCCCATGGGGCGGCAATGGGGGGCAATGGGGCAGCAATGGGGCTGCGGTGGGGCTTCAATGGGTGCCCATGGGGCGGTAATGGGGGGCAATGGGGCGGCAATGGGGTGCAATGGGGCAGCAATGGGGCTGCAATGGGGCTTCAATGGGTGTCCATGGGGCGGCAATGGGGGGTAATGGGGCAGCAATGGGGCTGCAATGGGTGCCCATGGGACGGCAATGGGGGGAAATGGGGCAGCAATGGGGGGCAATGGGGCAGCAATGGGACTGCAATGGGAGTCCATGGGGCGGCAATGGGGGCTAATGGGGGGCAATGAGGCTGCAATGGGGGAAATGGGGACAATGGGGTGGCAATGGGGGGACAATGGGGCTGCATTGGGGTTGCAATGGGGGTGCTATGGGGCTGCAATGGGAGGCAATGGGGACAATGGGGGGGCAATGGGGCAGAAATGGGGGTGAATGGGGTGGCAATGGGGGGCAATGGGGCAGCAATGGGGGACAATGGGGCAGCAATGGGGGGCAATGGGGCAGCAATGGGGCTGCAATGGGAGCCCATGGGGCGGCAATGTGGGGCAATGGGGCAGCAATGGGGGCTAATGGGGGGCAATTGGGCTGCAATGGGGGAAATGGGGACAGTGGGGTGGCAATGGGGGGACAATGGGGCTGCATTGGGGTTGCAATGGGCGTGCTATGGGACTGTAATGGGGGGCAATGGGGACAATGGGGGGGCAATGGGGCAGAAAGGGGGGTGAATGGGGGGCAATGGGGGTGCAATGGGGAGAATGGGGGGCAATGGGGCTGCATTGGGGGGCAATGGGGGTAAATGTGGCTGCAATGGGGGGCAGTGGGGCTGCAATGGGAGTGAATGGGGGGCAATGGGGCTGCAATGGGGGTGAATGGGGGGCAATGGGGGTGCAGTGGGGGGGGCACTGAGCGTCTCCTCCCCCATTGCCCCCCACAGCCCCCCCATGGCGGAGCTGCACCTCCTGGGGCAGATCGTGGGGGGCAGCGGCTTCCCCCAGCGCCGCCTCTTCTGCAAGTGGGGGCTGCAGGCGGGTGAGTGGGGCCCATAGAGACCCATAGGGACCCATGGAGACCCCATAGAGACCCATAGAAACCCCATAGAGACCTCATAGAGTCCCATAGGGACCCATAGAAACCCCATAGAGCCCCATTCATCCCCCATAGAGCCCTATAGAGCCCCTTAGAGCCCCATAGAGCTCCCACAGAGCCCCTTAGAGCCCCATAGAACCCCATAGATCCCCACAGAGCCCCCATAGGTCCCCACAGAGCCCCATAGGTCCCCACAGAGCCCCAGAGATCCCCACAAAGCCCCCATAGATCCCCATAGAGCCCCTATACAGCCCCATAGATCCCCGTAGAGGCCCCATAGATCCCCATAGAGGCCCCATAGATCCCCACAGAGCCCCCATGGATCCCCACAGAGCCCCCATAGATCCCCTATAGATCCCCATAGAGCCCCCACAGATCCCCACAGAGCCCCATAGATCCCCACAGAGCCCCATAGAGCCCCATAGATCCCCATAGAGCCCCCCCCCACCAGCGGCCCTCTCGCGCAGGCGCCGCCTGGCGGCCGCTCACGGGACTGACGTCAGGCCGGACGCACGTCGATGACCCGCAGGCCGGTGACGTCACTTACTGGAGCCACCCCATCGACGTGCACTACGCCACCAAAGGCCTGCAGGGTGCGTTCGCGTGTCCTTAGCGTGCCCTTAGTGTGTCCTTAGCGTGCCCTTAGTGTGTCCTTAGCGTGCCCTTAGTGTGTCCTTAGTGTGTCCTTAGCGTGCCCTTAGTGTGTCCTTAGCATGCCCTTAGTGTGCCCTTAGTGTGTCCTTAGTGTGTCCTTAGCATGCCCTTAGTGTGTCCTTAGCATGCCCTTAGTGTGTCCTTAGCGTGTCCTTAGTGTGTCCTTAGCATGCCCTTAGTGTGTCCTTAGCGTGTCCTTAGTGTGTCCTTAGCGTGCCCTTAGTGTGTCCTTAGCGTGCCCTTAGTGTGTCCTTGGCATGTCCTTAGTGTGTCCTTGGCATATCCTTAGTGTGTCCTAAGCGTGTCCTTAGCGCGTCCTTGGCATGTCCTTAGCGTGTCCTTGGCATGTCCTTAGCACGTCCTAAGCATGTCCTTAGCATGTCAGTGTGTCCTTAGCGTGTCAGCATGTCCTTAGCGTGTCCTTAGCACGTCCTTAGTGTGTCCTTAGCATGTCCTAAGCGTATCCTTAGCATGCCCTTAGCGTGTCCTAAGCGTATCCTTAGCATGCCCTTAGCGTGTCCTTAGCTTGTCTTAAGCATGTCCTTGGCATGTCCTAAGCATGTCTGTAGTGTCCTTAGCATGTCCTTAGCATTTCCTTAGCATGTCCTTAGCGTGTCCTTAGCATGTCCTAAGCGTGTGCCATGTGCGCAGGGTGGCCGCGGCTCCACGTGGAGGTGTGGCAGCAGGACGGCCTAGGCCGCTGCGACGTGATTGGCTACGGCTCGTGTCACGTGCCCTCGGCGCCGGGCCTGCACTCGGTGCGCTGCGTCACGTGGCGCCCCCTAGCGGGCTGGCGGGAGCGCGCGCGGCGGCGCTGGGTCGGGGGCGGGGCCAGGCTCGCGCAGGCGCAGGAGGGGGCGGTGGGGGGAGCGGGGCGGGGGAGCGCTTCCGGTTGAGGAGCGAGGCGGGCGGAAGCGTCCATTTGGAGCTGGGGGTGGTGCTGAGGCACTTCCGGCGCTTCGGGGTGCAGTGCGCATGAGCAGAAGGGGGGGGGAGTTTCCCCCCCCCCCCCCCAGGGAGGTGCAGTTGGTACGGCCCGGGGAAGGGCAACGGGGTTCCACGGGGGGGGAGTGCAGGGGTGGAAGGGGGCAATGGGGGGGAATGGGGGTGTAAAGGGGGTCTATGGGGATTGTAATGGGGTTCAATGGGGGGGTTATGGGGTTCTATGGGGGGGAATGGGGATCTATAGGGGGTGTAAAGGGGGTCTATGGGGATTGTAATGGGGTTCAGTGGGGGGGTTATGGGGTTCTATGGGGGGGAATGGGGGTCTAGGGGGGGAATGGGGATCTATAGGGGGTGTAAAGGGGGTCTATGGGGGGTTATGGGGGCTGTAATGGGGGTAATGGGGTTCTATGGGGGTGTAAAGGGGGCCTATGGGGGTGTAATGGGGCCTATGGGGGTCTATGGGGGGTGTAATGGGGTTCTATGGGGGTGTAAAGGGGGTCTATGAGGGGGAATGGGGATCTATAGGGGGTGTAAAGGGGGTCTATGGGGGTGTAAAGGGGGTCTATGGGGGGAATGGGGATCTATGGTGTTGTAAATGGGGTCTATGGGGGGTAATGAGGTTCTATGGGGGTGTAAAGGGGGCCTATGGGGGGGAATGGGGATTTATGGGGGGGTAACAGGGGATGTAATTGGGGTCTATGGGGGTGTAAAAGGGGTCTATGGGGGGTAATGGGTGTAATGGGGTTCTATGGGGGTGTAAAGGGGATCTGTGGGGGGTTATGGGGGGTAATGGGGGGTGTAATGGGGTCTATAGGGGTGTAAAGGGAGTCTGGGGGTTATGGGGGTGTAATGGGGTTCTATGGGGGAGTAAAGGGGGTCTATAGGGGGCAGTGGGGTTCTATGGGGGTCAGTGGGGGGAATGGGGTTTTATAGGGGGGAAATGAGGTCCTATAGGGTTGTAACGGGGGTCTGTGGGGGTCAATGGAGGGGGAATGGGGTTCTATGGGGGTGTAATGGGGTTCTATAGGGGAGAATAGGGTTTTATGGGGGGCAATGGGGTTCTATAGGGGGCAGTGGAGTTCAATAGAGGGGTAATGGGGTTCTATAGGGGTGGGAGGGGGCAATGGGGTCCTATAGAGGGATAATGGGGTTCTATAGGGGTGAAATGGGATAGTGGGGTTCTATGGGGTGCAATGGGGTTCTATGGGGCAGGAGGGGGCATTGAGGCTCTATAGGGGTGCAATGGAGTTCTATGGGGCGGGAGGGAGCATTGGGGTTCTATGGAGTGCAATGGGGTTCTGTGGGGTGGGAGGGGGCATTGAGGTTCTATAGGGGTACAATGGAGTTCTATGGGGCGGGAGGGAGCATTGGGGTTCTATGGAGTGCAATGGGGTTCTACGGGGTGGGAGGGAGCATTGGGGTTCTATGGGGTTCTATGGGGCGGGAGGGAGCACTGGGGTTCTATGGGGTGCAATGGGGTTCTATGGGGCAGGAGGGGGCATTGAGGTTCTATAGGGGTGCAATGGAGTTCTATGGGGCGGGAGGGAGCATTGGGGTTCTATGGGGTGCAATGGCGTTCTATGGGTGCAGTGGCGTTCTATGGGGTGGGAGGGGACATTGAGGTTCTATAGGGGTGCAATGGAGTTCTATGGGGCGGGGGGGAGCACTGGGGTTCTATGGGGTGGGAGGGAGCACTGGGGTTCTGTGGGGTGCAATGGGGTTCTATGGGGCGGGAGCATTGGGGTTCTATGGGGTTCTATGGGGCGGGAGGGAGCATTGGGGTTCTATGGGGTGCAATGGGGTTCTATGGGGCAGGAGGGAGCACTGGGGTTCTATGGAGTTCTATGGGGCGGGAGGGAGCATTGGGGTTCTATGGGGTGCAATGGAGTTCTATGGGGCGGGAGGGAGCACTGGGGTTCTATGGGGTGGGAGGGAGCACTGGGGTTCTATGGGGTGCAATGGAGTTCTATGGGGCAGGAGGGAGCATTGGGGTTCTATGGGGTTCTATGGGGCGGGAGGGAGCACTAGGGTTCTATGGGGTGCAATGGGGTTCTATGGGGCAGGAGGTAGCACTGGGGTTCTATGGGGCGCACTGAGGTCCATAGGGCTGCAATTGCCCCCCCATGTACCCCATAAAGCTCCTTCCACCCCCCCCCCATCCGCGTTGGTTTCATCCGGGGGGGGGGGGGGGGGGGGCGGAAACGTCCCAGACACGGGGGTGGGGGGAGGGGTGGGGGGGGTCCCGTTTCCTTCCCCTCCCCCCCCCCCCCGTGACTCAGTTTCGCCGCCTCCAACGGAGCGGAAAAAGGGGGGGGGAGGGGAGGGGGGAGGGGGGGCCTTTAACCCCCCCCCCAAACGCTTTAACCCCCCCCCCTCCCCCCCCCCCCCCCCCCGTTTCCTGGGTGGGGCCGCCCCGGGTGCGTTTTAAACGGGTCGGGAGGGAGCGAAACGGGAACTGAGCGCGGGGGAGGGGCGGCGGTGGCGGCTCCCAACGCTGCGAACGCTTCAGATAGGGGGAAAGGGGGGGGGGGGGGGGGGAAAGAGGGGAGCGTTTGGGACAGCTTGGAACCGTTTAGAAGCGTTTGAGACCGTTTGAAACCATTTGGGACCGTTTGAGACCGTTTGGGAGCATTTGGGACCGTTTGGGAGCATTTGGGACCGTTTGGGAGCATTTGGGACCGTTTGGAAGTGTTCGGGAGGTGTTTGGAACTGTTCGGGACTGTTTGCAAACGTTTGGATCCATTGGGGAGCGTTTATAAGCGTCTGGATCCGCTTTGGGACCGTTTAGAAGCGTCTGGATCCGTTTGGGAGCGTTTGGAACCGTTCGGAGCCGCTTGGATCCGCTTTGGGACCGTTTAGAAGCGTTTGGATCTATTTGGGACCGTTTAGAAGCGTTTGGATCTATTTGGGACCGTTTAGAAGCGTTTGGATCTATTTGGGACCGTTTAGAAGCGTTTGGATCCGTTTGGGAGTGTTTGGAACCGTTCGGAGCCGCTTGGATCCGCTTTGGGACCGTTTAGAAGCGTTTGGATCCGTTTGAGAGCGTTTAAAACCCTTCGGAGCCGCTTGGAAGCGTGTGGACCCGTTCGTTACCGCTTGGATCCGCTTCGGAAGCGTTTGGATCCATTTGGGAGCGTTTAGGACCGCTCGGAGGCGTTCGGACCCGTTCGGAACCGCTCAAAACAGCTCGGAAGCGCTCGGGATCGTTCAGAACCGTTCGAAAGCCGCTCGGGACCGTTCGGAACCGCTCGGACCCGTTCGGAAGCCGCTCGGACCCGTTCAGAAACGCTCGGAAGCCGCTCGGGACCGTTCAGAACCGTTCAAAGCCGCTCGGATCCGCTCGGAACAGTTCGGACCCGCTCGGAACCGTTGAGAGCCGCTTGGAACCGTTCGGAACCGCTCGGACCCGTTCGGAAACCGCTCGGACCCTTTCGAAGCCGCTCGGATCCGTTCGGAACCCTTCAGAGGCGCTCGGGACCGTTCAGAACCGTTCAAAACCGATCGGAACCGTTCGGAACCGTTCAAAGCCGCTCGGAACCGCTCGGAAGCCGCTCAGAACCGCTCGGACTCTTTCGGGACCCGCTCGGAACCGTTCGGACCCGTTCGGAACCGTTCGGACCCCTTCGGAGGCGCTCGGGACCCTTCGGACCCGTTCGGAGGCGCTCGGGACCGTTCAGAACCCCTCGGAAGCCGCTCAGAACCGCTCGGACTCTTTCGGGACCCGCTCGGAACCCTTCGGAGGCGCTCGGCACCGTTCAGAACCGCTCGGGACCCTTCGGACCCGTTCGGACCCCTTCGGAGGCGCTCGGGACCCTTCGGACCCCTTCGGAGGCGCTCGGGACCCTTCGGACCCCTTCGGAGGCGCTCGGGACCGTTCAGAACCGCTCGGACCCCTTCGGAGGCGCTCGGCACCGTTCAGAACCGCTCGGAACCGTTCGGACCCCTTCGGAGGCGCTCGGGACCGTTCAGAACCGCTCGGGACCCTTCGGAGCCCTTCGGAGGCGCTCGGGACCGTTCAGAACCCCTCGGAAGCCGTTCGGAACCGTTCAAAACCGATCGGAACCGTTCGGAAGCCGCTCAGAACCGCTCGGAACCCTTCGGAGGCGCTCGGGACCGTTCAGAACCGCTCGGAACCCTTCGGAACCGCTCGGACCCGTTCGGAGGCGCTCGGGGATGGAGCTGGCGCTGGTGCTGGCGCTGGCGCTGGGCGCGGCGCGCGCGCTCTCCACGTGCCGCTCGCTGGACCTGGAGGCCGCGCGCCGGAAGCGAATCGAGGCCGTGCGGGGCCAGATCCTGAGCAAACTGCGCATGAGCGCCCCTCCCCCACCCCCCTCCCCCTCCCCCCACCACCCCCCCCCGTCGGAGCCGTCGCTGCCTGATGACGTCCGCGCGCTCTACAACAGCACGTGGGAGCTGCTGCAGCAGCAGCAGAGGGAGAGGTGGGCGCCCCCTGCCGGCCCGGAGGACTACTACGCCAAGGAGCTGCACCGCTTCCCTATGGAGCCCCCGGGAGACGGTGAGAGCGGCATCGGTATGGGGGGGGTCCCCATGGGTGTCCCTATGGGCATCCAATGGGTGTTCCAATGGGTGTCCCAGTGGGCATCCGTATGGGCATCCTATGGGTACCACAATGGGTGTCCCTATGGGCATCCTATGGAGGTTCCAATGGGCGTCCCTATGGGTACCACAATGGGTGTCCTAATGGGCATCCTATGGGTGTCCCTATGAGCATCCCAATGGGCATCCTATGGCTGTTCCAACGGGTGTCCCTATGGGTACCACAGTGGATGTCCCTATAGGCATCCTATGGGTGTTCCAATGGGTGTCCCCATGGCTACCACAATGGGTGTCCCTATGGGCATCCTATGGGTGTTCCAATGGATGTCCCTATGGACATCCTATGGGTACTACAATGGGTGTCCCTATAGGCATCCTATGGGTGTTTCAGTGGGTGTCCCTATGGGCATCTTGTGGGCGTCCCTATGGGTGTTCCAATGGGCATCCTATGGGTGTCCCTATGAGCATCCCAATGGGCATCCTATGGGTGTTCCAATGGGTGTCCCTATGGGTACCACAATGGGTGTCCCTATGGGCATCCTATGGGTACCACAATGGGTGTCCCAATGGGCATCCTATGGGTGTCCCTGTGGGCATCCCAATGGGCATCCTATGGGAACCACAATGGGTGTCCCTATGGACATCCTATGAGTGTTCCAATGGGTGTCCCTATGGGTATCACAATGGGTGTCCCTATGGGCATCCTATGGGTACCACAATGGATGTCCCTGTGGGCATCCCAATAGGCATCCTATGGGTGTTGCAATGGGTGTCCCAATGGGCATCCTATGGGTACCACTATGGGTGTCCCTATGGGCATCCCAATGGACATCCAATGGGTGCCCCTATGGGCGTCCTATGGGTACCACAATGGGTGTCCCTGTGGGTATCCTATGGGTACCACTATGGGTGTCCCTATGGGCATCCCTATAGGCATCCAGTGAGCTTCACTATGGGTACCACTTATGGGCACCCCAATGGGCACCTCAATGGGTGTTCCTATGGGTGTCTCTATGGGCATCGCTGTAGGCACCCCTATGGGCACCCCAATGGGGCGTCCTATGGGCACCCCAATGGGGCATCCCTATGGGGTATCCCTATGGGCACCCTTATGGACACCCCAATGGGTGTCCCTATGAGCATCCCTATGGGCACCCCAATGGGGCATCCCTATGGGGTATCCCTATGGGCACCCTTATGGACACCCCAATGGGTGTCCCTATGAGCATCCCTATGGGCACCCCAATGGGTGTCCCTATGAGCATCCCTATGGGCACCCCAATGGGTGTCCCTATGGGGCATCCCTATGGGCACCCCAATGAGTGTCCCTATGGGGCACCCCTATGGACACCCCTATGGGTTGCAGCACCCATGGCAGCACTGCTTGGGGGGGGGAGGGGGTGGGTTATGGGTGCTCAATGGGGTTTAGGGGTGCTCAATGTGGGGGGAGCACATCCCGGGCCCCCTCCCCCCCCCATGTTCCTCCTTTCCCCACACATCCGGATGTTGAGGTTTGCTGAGTAATTCCCGGCTCTGGGGGCCCTTCCTGGGGCTGCAGGGGGGCACAGAGGGGGTGCTATGGGGCACTGTGGGTCCCTATGAGTCCTTATGGGTCTCTATGGGTCTTTCTGGTGTCTGTGGATCCCTATGGGTAGCTATAGGTTTCTATGGGTCCCTAGGAGTCCCTATGGGTTGCTATCGGTCCTTATGGGTCCCTATGGGGTTGTTAATGGCTTTCTGTGGGGCCCTATGGTTTCTATGGGTACCTATGGTCCCTGTAGGTCTCTATGGGTCTCTGTGGATCCCTATGGTTTCTGTGGGTCTCTGTGGTATCGATGGGTCCCTATAGGTCTCTGTGGGGTCTCTATGAGGTCACTATGTGTCTCTGTGGGGTCTCTATGGGGTCTCTGTGTCCCTATGAGGTCCTTATGAATCCCTATGGGGTCCTTGTGTGTCTCTATGGGACTCTGTGGGATCTCTATAAGTCCCTATAGGGTTTCTATGGGTCTGTATGGGGTCTCTATGGGTGTCTGTTTGTCTCTATGGGTCTCTATGGGGTCTCTGTAGGTCTCTATGGGTGTCTGTGTGCCTCTATGGGTCTCTCTGGTTCCCTATGGGTCCTTATGGGTCTCTATGGGGTCTCTGTGTGTCTCTATGGGTCCCTATGGGGTCTCTATGGGTCCCAATGGGTCTCTGTGTGTCCCTATGGGTCCCTATGGGGTCTCTATGGGTCCCTATGGGTCCCAATGGGGTCTCTATGGGTCCCAATGGGGTCTCTGTGTGTCCCTATGGGTCCCAATGGGGTCTCTATGTGTCCCTATGGGTCCCAATGGGGTCTCTATGGGTCCCAATGGGTCTCTATGTGTCCCTATGGGTCCCAATGGGGTCTCTATGTGTCCCTATGGGTCCCAATGGGGTCTCTATGGGTCCCAATGGGTCTCTATGTGTCCCTATGGGTCCCAATGGGGTCTCTATGTGTCCCTATGGGTCCCAACGTCTTCCCCCCCCCCCCCCCCGCAGGCTCCGCCCCCCCGGCCGCCCCCTCCTGCTGCGCTTCAACGCCTCGCGCGTGCGCGAAGAGCTGGGCCGGGGGGCGCTGCTGCACCGCGCCGAACTGCGCATGCTCCGCCAGAGGGCGCCCGAGGGCGGCGACCAACAGCGCCTGGAGCTCTATCAGGTACCCCCCCCTCTATGGGCAATGGAACAGTCCTGGGGATGGGAACCCCCCTCTATGGGCAATGGAACAGTCCTGGGTATGGGAACCCCCCCCTCTATGGGCAATGGAACAGTCCTGGGGATGGGAACCCCCCCTCTATGGGCAATGGAACAGTCCTGGGGGTGGGAACCCCCCTTCTATGGGCAATGGAACAGTCCTGGGGATGGGACCCCCCCCCCCCCCTATGGGCAATGGAACAGTCCTGGGTATGGGAACCCCCCCTCTATGGTCAATGGAACAGTCCTGGGGATGGGAACCCCCCCCTCTATGGGCAATGGAACAGTCCTGGGTATGGGAACCCCCCCTCTATGGGCAATGGAACAGTCCTGGGGATGGGAACCCCCCCTCTATGGGCAATGGAACAGTCCTGGGGATGGGAACCCCCCTTCTATGGGCAATGGAACAGTCCTGGGTATGGGAACCCCCCCTCTATGGGCAATGGAACAGTCCTGGGGATGGGAACCCCCCCTCTATGGGCAATGGAACAGTCCTGGGTATGGGAACCCCCCCCTCTATGGGCAATGGAACAGTCCTGGGTATGGGAACCCCCCCCCTCTATGGGCAATGGAACAGTCCTGGGTATGGGAACCCCCCCTCTATGGGCAATGGAACAGTCCTGGGGATGGGAACCCCCCTTCTATGGGCAATGGAACAGTCCTGGGGATGGGAAACTCCCCCTCTGTGGGCAATGGAACAGTCCTGGGGATGGGAACCCCCCCTCTATGGGCAATGGAACAGTCCTGGGTATGGGAACCCCCCCTCTATGGGCAATGGAACAGTCCTGGGTATGGGAACCCCCCCCTCTATGGGCAATGGAACAGTCCTGGGGATGGGAACCCCCCTCTATGGGCAATGGAACAGTCCTGGGTATGGGAACCCCCCCTCTATGGGCAATGGAACAGTCCTGGGGATGGGAACCCCCCCTCTATGGGCAATGGAACAGTCCTGGGTATGGGAACCCCCCTCTATGGGCAATGGAACAGTCCTGGGTATGGGAACCCCCCCTCTATGGGCAATGGAACAGTCCTGGGAATGGGAACCCCCCCTCTATGGGCAATGGAACAGTCCTGGGTATGGGAAACTCCCCCTCTATGGGCAATGGAACAGTCCTGGGGATGGGAACCCCCCCTCTATGGGCAATGGAACAGTCCTGGGTATGGGAACCCCCCCCTCTATGGGCAATGGAACAGTCCTGGGTATGGGAACCCCCCCTCTATGGGCAATGGAACAGTCCTGGGTATGGGAACCCCCCCCCTCTATGGGCAATGGAACAGTCCTGGGGATGGGAACCCCCCTTCTATGGGCAATGGAACAGTCCTGGGTATGGGAACCCCCCCCTCTATGGGCAATGGAACAGTCCTGGGGATGGGAACCCCCCCTCTATGGGCAATGGAACAGTCCTGGGGATGGGAACCCCCCCCTCTATGGGCAATGGAACAGTCCTGGGTATGGGAACCCCCCCTCTATGGGCAATGGAACAGTCCTGGGGATGGGAACCCCCCTCTATGGGCAATGGAACAGTCCTGGGGATGGGAACCCCCCTTCTATGGGCAATGGAACAGTCCTGGGTATGGGAACCCCCCTTCTATGGGCAATGGAACAGTCCTGGGTATGGGAACCCCCCCTCTATGGGCAATGGAACAGTCCTGGGGATGGGAACCCCCCACTCTATGGGCAATGGAACAGTCCCTGGGGATGGGAACCCCCCCTCTATGGTCAATGGAACAGTCCTGGGGATGGGAACCCCCCCTCTATGGTCAATGGAACAGTCCTGGGGATGGGAACCCCCCCTCTATGGGCAATGGAACAGTCCTGGGGATGGGAACCCCCCTTCTATGGGCAATGGATGTGGTTTTGGGGTACCCAGGATTGGGTTTTGGGGTCCCGGTTGGGTTTTGGATTCCCGGTTGGGTTTTGGTGTCCCCGGTTGGGTTTTGGGATCCCGGTTGGGTTTTGGGTCCCTTCATGGGTTCTGGGTCCCTGGATGCAGTTTTGGGGTCCGGGACTGGGTCTTTGGGGTCCCCAGATGTGGTTTAGGGGTCCCCCAGATGCATTTTTGGGGTCCCTGGTTGGGTTTTGGGGTCCCTGGTTGGGTTTTGGGGTCCCCGGTTGGGTTTTGGGGTCCCCCGATGTGGTTTTGGGGTCCCCGTTGTAACCAGGGGGGGTCCCCTGTCCCCCCAGGGCTTTGGCAACGCCTCCTGGCGGTACCTGCAGGGCCGCTGGGTGCGGGCGGCCCCCGACGAGGAGTGGGTCTGGTTCGACGTCACCGAGGCCGTGCAGCAGTGGCTGGGGGGCAATGGTGATGTATGGGGGGCTGGGGGGGGGGGGGTACGGGTAATGGGGTGCCAATGGGGACCTCAGTGGGGATCTCAATGGGCACCCAATGGGGACTTCAATGGGGACGTCAATGGTCAACCCAATGGGCATGGTAATGGGCATCTCAATGGGGTCCCAATGGGCAGCTCAATGGGGCACCCAATGGGTACCTCAATGGGGACCTCAATGGGCACCCAATGGGACCCCAATGGGGACCTCAATGGGCACCTCCATGGGTACCTCAGTGGGGTCCCAATGGGTGCCTCAATGGGCACCTCAATGGGGACTTCAATGGGGACCTCAGTGGGCACCCAATGCTTACCCAATGAGCATCTCAATGGGCACCCAATGAGCATCCCAATGGGCACCCAATGGCCACCTCAGTGGGCACTTCAATGGGCACCCAATGGGTATCCCAGTGGGGTCCCAGTGGTGCCTTTAGCGGTCAGCCCAGAGTTGCCCCAATGGCACCCAATGATCATCCCAATGGGCACTCAATGGTCAATCCAATGGGCAACCAATGATCATCCCAATGGTCAACCCAATGGCACCTCATGGGCACTCAATGGTCAACCCAGTGCGCACCCAATGATCATCCCAACGGGCACCTTAATGGGCACCCAGTGGTCAACCCAATGCACACCCAATGATCATCCCAATGGGCACCCAATGATCATCCCAATGGCACCCAATGGGCACCCCATTTGATCATCTCAATGGCACCCAATGGGCACCCAATGATCATCCCAATGGCACCCAATGAGCACCCAAAGGGACCCAATGGGCACCCAATGCCCCCCCATCACTGTTGACCCCTCTCTCCCCATAGACCCCATAGGCACGTTCAAACTGAGCGTCCATTGCCCCTGCGACGAGCCGGGCCCGCCCCCCGCCATGCGCTTCACCTTCGAAGGTACCACTGGGGGACGGGGGTGTTTTGGGTTAAATCCGGGTGATTTTGGGTTAAATCCGGGTGATTTTGGGTTAAATCCGGGTGGTTTTGTGTTAAATCCGGGTGATTTTGGGTTAAATCCGGGTGATTTCGGGTTAAATCCGGGTGATTTTGGGATAAATCCGGGTGATTTTGGTTAAAACCGGGTGATTTTGGGATAAATCCGGGTGATTTTGGTTAAATCCGGGTGATTTTGGTTAAATCCGGGTGATTTTGGGTTAAATCCGGGTGATTTTGGTTAAAATCCGGGTGATTTTGGGATAAATCCGGGTGATTTTGGGTTAAAACCGGGTGATTTTGGTTAAATCCGGGTGATTTGGGTTAAATCCGGGTGATTTTGGTTAAATCCGGGTGATTTTGGGTTAAATCCGGGTGATTTTGGTTAAATCCGGGTGATTTTGGGTTAAATCCGGGTGATTTTGGGTTAAATCCGGGTGATTTTGGTTAAATCCGGATGATTTTGGGATAAATCCGGATGATTTTGGTTAAATCTGGGTGATTTTGGGTTAAATCCGGGTGATTTTGGGTTAAATCCGGGTGATTTTGGGTTAAATCCGGGTGATTTGGGTTAAATCCGGGTGATTTTGGTTAAATCCGGATGATTTTGGGATAAATCCGGATGATTTTGGTTAAATCCGGGTGATTTTGGGTTAAATCCGGGTGATTTTGGTTAAATCCGGGTGATTTTGGGTTAAATCGGTGATTATAAATCCGGGTGATTTTGGGTTAAAACCGGGTGATTTTGGTTAAATCCGGGTGATTTTGGTTAAATCCGGGTGATTTTGGGTTAAATCCGGGTGATTTTGGTTAAATCCGGGTGATTTTGGGTTAAATCCGGGTGATTTTGGGTTAAATCCGGGTGATTTTGGTTAAATCCGGATGATTTTGGGATAAATCCGGATGATTTTGGTTAAATCCGGATGATTTTGGGTTAAATCCGGGGTGATTTTGGGTTAAATCCGGGTGATTTTGGGTTAAATCCGGGTGATTTGGGTTAAATCCGGGTGATTTGGGTTAAATCCGGGTGATTTTGGGTTAAATCCGGGTGATTTTGGGTTAAATCCGGGTGATTTTTGGGTTAAATCTGGGTGATTTTGGTTAAATCTGGGTGATTTTGGTTAAATCTGGGTGATTTTGGGTTAAATCCGGATGATTTTGGGTTAAATCCGGATGATTTTGGGATAAATCCGGGTGATTTTGGGTTAAATCCGGGTGATTTTGGCTGAAATCCGGGTGATTTTGGGATAAATCCGGGTGATTTTGGTTAAATCCGGATGATTTTGGGTTAAATCCGGGTGATTTTGGGATAAATCCGGGCGATTTTGGGTTAAATCCGGGTGATTTTGGGTTAAATCCGGGTGATTTTGGGTTAAATCTGGGGGATTTTGTGTTAAATCCGGGTGGTTTTGGGTTAAATCCAGGCGGTTTCGGTTAAATCCGGGTGGTTTTGGTTTAAATCCGGGTGATTTTGGGTTAAATCCGGGCGGTTTCGGGTTAAATCCGGGCGATTTTGTGTTAAATCCGGGCGATTTTGGGTTAAATCCGGGTGATTTTTTGTTAAATCCGGGTGGTTTTGGGTTAAATCCAGGCGGTTTCGGTTAAATCCGGGTGGTTTTGGGTTAAATCCGGGTGATTTTGGTTAAATCCGGGTGATTTTGGGTTAAATCCGGGTGATTTTGGGTTAAATCCGGGTGATTTGGGTTAAATCCGGGTGATTTTGGTTAAATCCGGATGATTTTGGGATAAATCCGGATGATTTTGGTTAAATCCGGGTGATTTTGGGTTAAATCCGGGTGATTTTGGTTAAATCCGGGTGATTTTGGGATAAATCCGGGTGATTTTGGGTTAAAACCGGGTGATTTTGGTTAAATCCGGGTGATTTTGGTTAAATCCGGGTGATTTTGGGTTAAATCCGGGTGATTTTGGTTAAATCCGGGTGATTTTGGGTTAAATCCGGGTGATTTTGGGTTAAATCCGGGTGATTTTGGTTAAATCCGGATGATTTTGGGATAAATCCGGATGATTTTGGTTAAATCCGGATGATTTTGGGTTAAATCCGGGTGATTTTGGGTTAAATCCGGGTGATTTTGGGTTAAATCCGGGTGATTTGGGTTAAATCCGGGTGATTTGGGTTAAATCCGGGTGATTTTGGGTTAAATCTGGGTGATTTTGGGTTAAATCCGGGTGATTTTGGGTTAAATCCGGGTGATTTTGGGTTAAATCCGGGAGGTTTTGGGTTAAATCCGGGTGATTTTGGTTAAATCTGGGTGATTTTGGTTAAATCTGGGTGATTTTGGGTTAAATCCGGATGATTTTGGGTTAAATCCGGATGATTTTGGGTTAAATCCGGATGATTTTGGGATAAATCCGGGTGATTTTGGGTTAAATCCGGGTGATTTTGGCTGAAATCCGGGTGATTTTGGGATAAATCCGGGTGATTTTGGTTAAATCCGGATGATTTTGGGTTAAATCCGGGTGATTTTGGGATAAATCCGGGCGATTTTGGGTTAAATCCGGGTGATTTTGGGTTAAATCCGGGTGATTTTGGGTTAAATCTGGGGGATTTTGTGTTAAATCCGGGTGGTTTTGGGTTAAATCCAGGCGGTTTCGGTTAAATCCGGGTGGTTTTGGTTTAAATCCGGGTGATTTTGGGTTAAATCCGGGCGGTTTCGGGTTAAATCCGGGCGATTTTGTGTTAAATCCGGGTGATTTTGGGTTAAATCCGGGTGATTTTTTGTTAAATCCGGGTGGTTTTGGGTTAAATCCAGGCGGTTTCGGTTAAATCCGGGTGGTTTTGGTTTAAATCCGGGTGATTTTGGGTTAAATCCGGGTGATTTTGGGTTAAATCCGGGTGATTTTGGGTTAAATCCGGGTGATTTTGGGTTAAATCCGGATGATTTTGGGATAAATCCGGATGATTTTGGTTAAATCTGGGTGATTTTGGGTTAAATCCGGGTGATTTGGGTTAAATCCGGGTGATTTGGGTTAAATCTGGGTGATTTTGGGTTAAATCCGGGTGATTTTGGGATAAATCCGGATGATTTTGGGATAAATCCGGATGATTTTGGGTTAAATCCGGGTGATTTTGAGTTAAATCCGGATGATTTTGGGTTAAATCCGGGTGATTTTGGGTTAAATCCGGGTGATTTTGGGATAAATCCGGATGATTTTGGGTGATTTCGCAGGGTTCGAGCAGCAGCGCGGGGGACATGCAGGGCATCGCGCGCAAGCACCAGCGCGCCCCCTACGTGCTGGCGATGGTACTGCCCGAGGAGCGCGGCAACGACCTGCGCAGCGCCCGGCGCCGCCGCGGCATCGACCCCCCCTTCTGCTTCGGGTCAGTGGGACCGGCCCAAACGGACACAAAATGGACCCAAAATTGACACAAATGGACCCAAAATTGACAAAAATTGACCCAAACGGACCCAAAATTGACCGAAACTGACCCAAATGGACCCAAAATTGACCGAAACTGACCCAAACGGACCCAAAATTGACCGAAACTGACCCAAATGGACCCAAAATTGACCTAAACTGACCCAAAACAGACCTAAACCGACCCAAACAGACCCAAAATGGACCCAAACAGACCCAAAATTGACCTAAACTGACCCAAAATTGACACAAACGGACCCAAAATTGACCGAAACTGACCCAAAACGGACCCAAACGGACCCAAAATTGACCGAAACTGACCCAAAACGGACCCAAATGGACCCAAAATTGACACAAATGGACCCAAAATTGAACTAAACTGAGCCAAACGGACCCAAAATTGACCGAAACTGACCCAAATGGACCCAAAATTGACAGAAATGGACCCAAAATTGAACTAAACTGAGCCAAACGGACCCAAAATTGACCGAAACTGACCCAAACGGACCCAAAATTAACCTAAACTGACCCAAAACGGACCTAAACCGACCCAAACAGACCCAAAATGGACCCAAACAGACCCAAAATTGACCAAAACTGACCCAAAATGGACACAAAATGGACCAAAATGGACCCAAACAGACCCAAAATTGACCAAAACTGTCCCAAATGGACCCAAAACTGTCCCAAACGGACCCAAACTGACCCAACCGGACCCAAAACGGAACCAAATCAGCCCAAAATGGACAGAAATTGACCTAAACTGACCCAAATTGACCGAAACTGACCCAAATGGACCAAAATTGACCTAAACTGACCCAAAACGGACCCAAGTGGACCCACAATTGACCTAAACTGACCCAAACGGACCCAAAATTGACCTAAACTGAGCCAAACGGACCCAAAACAGACCCAAAAGGACCCAAAACAGACCCAAAATTGACCTAAACTGAGCCAAACGGACCCAAAAGGACCCAAAACGGACCCAAAATTGACCTAGACTGACCCAAAATGGACACAAATGGACCCAGAATTGACCTAAACTGACCCAAAATTGACCTAAACTGACCCAAAACGGACCCAAGCGGACCCACAATTGACCCAAACGGACCCAAATGGACCCAAAATTGACCTAAACTGAGCCAAACGGACCCAAAACAGACCCAAAAGGACCCAAAACGGACCCAAACGGACCCAAAATTGACCGAAACTGACCCAAAACGGACCCAAACGGACCCAAAATTGACCTAAACTGACCCAAAATGGACACAAAATGGACCAAAATGGACACAAACGGACCCAAAATTGACCTAAACTGACCCAAAATGGACCTAAACCCCTACCCCCATTCATTCACCCCCATTCATCCCCCCATTGATTCCCATTCATTCCCCCATTGATTCCCATTCACCCCCATTCATTCCCCCATTGATTCCCATTCATTCCCCCATTGATTCCCATTTACCCCCATTCATTCACCCCCATTCATTCCCCCATTGATTCCCATTCACCCCCATTCATTCCCCCCCATTCCCCCCATTCATCCACTCCATTGATTCCCATTCACCCCCATTCATTCCCCCATTGATTCCCATTCATTCCCCCATTGATTCCCATTTACCCCATTCATTCACCCCCATTCATTCCCCCATTGATTCCCATTCACCCCCATTCATCCCTCCATTGATTCCCATTCACCCCCATTCATCCCATTGATTCCCATTCACCCCCATTCATCCCCTTGATACCCATTCACCCCCATTCATCCCCCCATTGATTCCCATTCATCCCCCCATTGATTCCCATTCACCCCCATTGATTCCCATTCATCCCCCCCATTCATTCCCCCCCATTCATCCCCCCATTGATTCCCATTCATCTCCCCATTGATTCCCATTCCTCCCCATTCATTCCCCAATTCCCCCCATTCATCCCCCCATTGATTCCCATTCATTCCCCCATTGATTCCCATTCATCTCCCCATTGATTCCCATTCATTCCCCCATTGATTCCCATTCATCTCCCCATTGATTCCCATTCATTCCCCCATTGATTCCCATTCATCTCCCCATTGATTCCCATTCATCTCCCCATTGATTCCCATTCATCTCCCCATTGATTCCATTCATCTCCCCATTGATTCCCATTCATTCCCCCCCATTGATTCCCATTCCCCCCATTCATCCCCCATTGACTCCCATTCATCCCCCATTGACTCCCATTCATCCCCCCCCATTCCCTGCCCCACTGCAGCCCGGAGGAGCAGAGCTGTTGCCTGCGCCCGCTCTACATCGACTTCCGACGGGACCTGCACTGGCGCTGGATCCACGAGCCCCCGGCTACATGGCCAACTTCTGTGGGGGGGGCTGCCCCTACCTCTGGAGCGCCGACACGCAGTACTCCAAGGTGCGCCCGGACCCATAAGTGTGGGGCTGGGACCCATAAGTGGCGGGTGGGGGCCATGGATGTGGGGCTGGGAGCCATAAGTGGGGGGTGGGAGCTATAGATGTGGGGCTGAGACCTGTAAGCGGGGGGTGGGGGATCTATAGATGTGGGGCTGAGACCCATACATGTGGGGCAGGACCCATAAGTGAGGGGTGGGATCTATAGATGTGGGGCTGAGACCCATACGTGTGGGGGTGGGAGCCGTAAGTGGGGGGTGGGAGCTATAGATGTGGGGCTGAGACCCGTAAGCGGGGGGTGGGATCTATAGATGTGGGGCTGAGACCCATACATGTGGGGCAGGACCCATAAGTGAGGGGTGGGATCTATAGATGTGGGGCTGAGACCCATACGTGTGGGGTGGGAGCCATAAATATGGGGCTGGGAGCCATAAGTGGCAGGTGGGAGCCATGGATGTGGGGCTGGGAGCCATAAGTGGGGGGTGGGAGCTATAGATGTGGGGCTGAGACCCGTAAGCGGGGGGTGGGAGCTATAGATGTGGGGCTGAGACCCATACATGTGGGGCAGGACCCATAAGTGAGGGGTGGGATCTATAGATGTGGGGCTGAGACCCATACGTGTGGGGTGGGAGCCGTAAGTGGGGGGTGGGAGCTATAGATGTGGGGCTGAGACCCGTAAGCGGGGGGTGGGATCTATAGATGTGGGGCTGAGACCCATACATGTGGGGCAGGACCCATAAGTGAGGGGTGGGATCTATAGATGTGGGGCTGAGGCCCAGAAGTGTGGGGCTGGGAGCCATGGAGGGGAGGTGGGACCCATAAGTGTGGGGCTGGACCCATAGATGCGAGGTTGGTCCCGTAGTTGTGGATCCAAACCCCTAGATGTGGGGTGGGAGCCATGGATGTGGGGCGGGACCCATAAGGATGGGGTGGGAGGCTTGTGGGGCTGGACTCATAGATATGGGGCTGGACCCGTAAGTGTGGGGCACAACCCATAAGGGTGTGGTGGAACCTATAGAGAGGGGCTGGGAGCCCTAAGTGTGGGGCTGGACCCAAAAGTGTGGGGCTGGAGCCATGGATGGGGGGTGGGACCCATAAGTGTGGGTCCGATCCGACAGATGTGGGTCTGCCCTATAGATGTGGGTCTGGCCCCACAAGTGTGGGTCTGCCCCATTGCTGTGGGTCCTGCCCCATAAGTGTGGGTCTTGCCCCATTGCTCTGGGTCCAGCCCCATAGATGTGGCTCCAGCCCCATAGGTGTGGCTCCAGCCCCATATGTGTGGGTCTGGCCCTATAAGTGTGGCTCCAGCCCCATAGATGTGACTCCAGCCCCATATGTGTGGGTCCAGCCCCATAGATGTGGCTCCAGCCCACGTATGTGTGGGTCTGGCCCTATAAGTGTGGGTCCAGCCCCATAGATGTGACTCCAGCCCCATTGCTGTGGCTCTGCCACATTGCCGTGGGTCTGGCCCCATATGTGTGGGTCCAGCCCCATAAGTGTGGGTCCCGCCGCAGGTGCTGGCCCTGTACACGCAGCACAACCCGGGGGGCTCGGCCGCCCCCTGCTGCGTGCCCCAGAGCCTGGAGCCGCTCCCCATCGTTTATTATGTGGGGCGCAAGGCGCGCGTGGAGCAGCTCTCGGACATGGTGGTGCGGGCCTGCAAGTGCAGCTGAAACGGACCCAAAACCGCCTGAAATGGACCCAAAATGGACCCAAAACCACCTGAAATGGACCCAAAACGGAGCCAAAACCTCCTGAAACGGACCAAAACGGACCCAAAACCGCCTGAAATGGACCCAAAATGGAGCCAAAAACGCCTGAAACGGACCCAAAACGGACCCAAAACCGCCTGAAATGGACCCAAAACGGACCCAAAACCGCCTGAAATGGACCCAAAACGGAGCCAAAACCGCCTGAAATGGACCCAAAATGGACCCAAAACCGCCTGAAATGGACCCAAAACGGAGCCAAAACCACCTGAAACGGACCCAAAACGGAGCCAAAACCGCCTGAAACGGACCCAAAACGGAGCCAAAACCACCTGAAACGGACCCAAAACCGCCTGAAATGGACCCAAAACGGAGCCCAAAACAGACCCAAAACTGCCTGAAATGGACCCAAAACGGACCCGAAACCACCTGAAATGGACCCAAAACGGAGCCAAAACCGCCTGAAACGGAGCCAAAACCGCCTGAAACGGACCCAAAATGGACCCGAAACCACCTGAAATGGACCCAAAACGGAGCCAAAACCGCATGAAATGGACCCAAAACGGAGCCAAAACCGCCTGAAATGGACCCAAAACGGAGCCAAAACCTCCTGAAACGGACCCAAAACGGAGCCAAAACCGCCTGAAACGGACCCAAAACCGCCTGAAATGGACCCAAAACGGACCCAAAACAGACCCAAAACTGCCTGAAATGGACCCAAAACGGACCCGAAACCACCTGAAATGGACCCAAAACGGAGCCAAAACCGCCTGAAACGGACCCAAAATGGAGCCAAAACCGCCTGAAACGGACCCAAAACGGGACCCGAAACCACCTGAAATGGACCCAAAACGGAGCCAAAACCGCCTGAAATGGACCCAAAACGGAGCCGAAACCGCCTGAAATGGACCCAAAACGGACCCAAAACCTCCTGAAACGGACCCAAAACGGACCCAAAACCGCCTGAAATGGACCCAAAATGGAGCCGAAACCGCCTGAAATGGACCCAAAACGGAGCCAAAACCGCCTGAAACGGACCCAAAATGGAGCCGAAACCGCCTGAAATGGACCCAAAACGGAGCCAAAAACGCCTGAAATGGACCCAAAACGGACCCGAAACCACCTGAAATGGACCCAAAACGGACCCAAAACCACCTGAAACGGACCCAAAACGGAGCCAAAAACGCCTGAAATGGACCCAAAACGGACCCGAAACCACCTGAATGGACCCAAAACGGAGCCAAAACCGCCTGAAATGGACCCAAAACGGAGCCAAAACCGCCTGAAACGGACCCAAAATGGAGCCGAAACCACCTGAAACGGACCAAAAACTGCCTGAAACGGACCCAAAACGGAGCCAAAACAGAGCCGAAACGGACCCAAAACCGCCTGAAACGGACCCAAAACAGACCCAAAACCACCTGAAACAGACCCAAAATGGACCCAAAACCGCCTGAAACGGACCCAAAACGGAGCCAAAACCGCCTGAAATGGACCCAAAACGGAGCCAAAACCGCCTGAAACGGACCCAAAACGGACCCAAAACGGAGCCAAAACCGCCTGAAACGGACCCAAAACGGACCCGAAACCACCTGAAATGGACCCAAAACGGAGCCAAAACCGCCTGAAACGGACCCAAAATGGACCCAAAACCTCCTGAAACGGACCCAAAACTGCCTGAAATGGACCCAAAACGGAGCCAAAACGGAGCCGAAACGGACCCAAAACCGCCTGAAATGGACCCAAAACGGAGCCGAAACGGACCCAAAACCGCCTGAAACAGACCCAAAAAGGACCCAAAACCGCCTGAAATGGACCCAAAACAGACCCAAAACCACCTGAAATGGACCCAAAACGGAGCCCAAACGGACCCAAAACGGAGCTGAAACGGACCCAAAACCGCCTGAAACGGACCCAAAACCGCCTGAAACGGACCCAAAACGGAGCCGAAAACAGACCCAAAACCGCCTGAAACGGACCCAAAACGGAGCCGAAAACAGACCCAAAACCGCCTGAAATGGACCCAAAACGAAGCCAAAACCGCCTGAAACGGACCCAAAACGGACCCGAAACCACCTGAAACGGACCCAAAACGGAGCCAAAAACCGCCTGAAACGGACCCAAAACCGCCTGAAACGGACCCAAAACAGACCGGAAACCACCTGAAACGGACCCAAAATGGACCCAAAACTGCCTGAAATGGACCCAAAACGGAGCCCAAACGGACCCAAAACAGACCCAAAACTGCCTGAAACAGACCCAAATGGAGCCCAAACGGACCCAAAACGGAGCCGAAAACAGACCCAAAACCGCCTGAAATGGACCCAAAACGGGAGCCCAAACAGACCCAAAACTGCCTGAAATTGCCCCAAACCAGACCAGAAAACAGCAAAACCCGCCCAAAATTGCCCAAAACTGGGCAAAACCAGCCCAAAATTGCCCAAAATTGGGCAAAACCAGCCCAAAATTGCCCCAAATTGGGCAAACCAGCCCAAAGAGACCCCAAAATCAGCCTTTTTCACCCCAAAACCACCGCTTTGCCCCAAAACCCAACCCAGAGACCTTTTGTACCCCCAAAACCCCCCTTTTTCACCCCAAAACGCTTTTGTACCCCCCAACCCCCCCCATGCGCACCCAAAATCCACCTTTTTCACCCCAAAACGCTTTTTGTACTCCAAAAACGCCCTTTTTCACCCCAAAACCACCGTTTTTCCACCCAACCCCCCCTTGTACCCCAAACCCACCCTGTGCGCACCCAAAATCTCCCTTTTCACCCCAAATACCCTTCCCCCCCCCCCCAATAAAACCTTATTTAATTTCTCCTTTTTTTGGGCTCAATTTCTGCGTTTTTGGGCTGGAAAAGCTAAAAACACCCATGGGGGGGGGGGGGGAGGGGCAGGAAATGGGGCCCTTCCGCACCCAAAACCACCCTTTTCACCCCAAAATCCCTCCTTCACCCCAAAGCCCTTCTCTTTACCCCAAATCCCCCTTTTTTACCCCAAAACCCCCTTTTTCACCCCAAAAAAACCCTCTTTTTAACCTTTTTTCACCCAAACCCCCCTTTTGACCCCAAAAAACCTTTACCCCAAAACAACCCTTTTTCACCCCAAAACTTTACCCAAAAACCCCCTTTTTCACCCCAAAATTCACTTTGTACCTCAAAACCTTTTACCCCAAAACTCCCGCTTTTCACCCCCAAAAAACTTTTTTGACCCAAAACCCCTTTTACCCCCAAAACATTTTACCCCAAAACACCACTTTCACCCCAAAATCCTTTTTAACCCAAAAACCCCCTTTTCACCCCAAAACCCTTTTTACCCCAAATCCACCTTTTTCACCTCAAACCTTTTACCCCAAACCCCCCCTTTTACCCCAAAACTGCCTTTTTTACCCCAAAGAACCCTTTCTGAGCCAAAACCCCTGCTTTTACCCTAAAAACCCCCTTTTCACCCCAAAACTCCCTTTTTCACCCAAAACCCTCTTTTTACCCCAAATCCACCTTTTCACCCCAAAATCCTTTTTCTCCCCAAAACCCCCTTTTTCAACCCCCAAAACCCCTTTTACCCTAAAAACCCCTTTTCAACCCCAAAACCCCTTTTTCCCCAAATAACCCTCTTTTCACCCCAAACCCCCCTTTTTACCCTAAAAACCCCTTTTTCAACCCCAAAACCCCCTTTTTTACCCCAAACCCTGTCTTTTTTACTCCAAAACCCCCTTTTTGACCTAAAACCCCTCTTTTCACCCCAAAACCCCTTTTTTCCCCAAATAACCCTCTTTTCACCCCAAAACCCCCTTTTTACCCTAAAACCCTTTTTCAACCCCAAAACCCCCTTTTTTACCCCAAACCCTGTCTTTTTTACTCCAAAACCCCCTTTGTGACCCAAAACCCCTCTTTTCACCCAAAACCTCCTTTTTTTACCCCAAAAACCAACTCCAATGCAGGGTCCCTCCAATGGGGGGGGGGGGGGGGCACCCATAGGTCCCATTAAGGGCAATGGGTGGGGGGGGCCTCTCTCCCTATGGGACCAGCACCTTTGGGTGCCCCCCACCCATAGCAATACATGGGGGGGGGGGGCGGCACCCATAGGTCCCATTATTGGCAATGGGGGGGGGGCACCCATAGTTCCCATTATTGGCAATAGGGGGGGGCACCCATAGGTCCCATTAAGGGCAATGGGGGCAGGTGGGGGGCACCCATAGGTCCCATTATTGGCGGGGGGGGGGGGGGCACCCATAGGTCCCATTAAGGGCAATGAGGGGGGGGCACCCATAAGTCCCATTATTGGCAATGGGGGGGGGAGCACCCATAGGTCCCATTATTGGCAATGGGGGGGGGCACCATAAGTCCCATTATTGGCAATGGGGGGGGGGGGCACCCATAGGTCCCATTAAGGGCAATGGGGGGGGGCACCCATAAGTCTCCATTAATGGCAATGGGGGGGGGCACCCATAGGTCCCATTAAGGGCAATGGGGGGGGGGCACCCATAAGTCCCATTATTGGCAATGGGGGGGGCACCCATAGGTCCCATTAAGGGCAATGGGGGGGGGCACCCATAAGTCCCATTATTGGCAATGGGGGGGGAGCACCCATAGGTCCCATTAAGGGCAATGGGGGGGGCACCCATAGGTCTCATTAAGGGCAATGGGGGGGGGGGTTTCTCTCCCTATGGGACCAGCACCTTTGGGTGCCCCCCCCCATAGGAACACCCGGTGATGTTGGGGGGGGGGGGGGTCCCCTTTATTGCAGGGGGGGGGCGGCGCTGGGCTCCTCGGCATCGAAGTAGCGCTCCTCAGCATCCCGCTCCGAGATGAGCCCCACATCCAGGTCAGCGTTGCCATCAACCTGGCTGGGATGGGGAGATATGGGGTAGATGGGGGGGGAGATGGGGGGGGTATGGGGGGAGATGGGGGGATATGGGGGGAGATATGGGGGGGATATGGGGGAGATGGGGGGGGGATATGGGGGGGAGATGGGGGGAATATGGGGGGATATGGGGGGAGATGGGGGGGTATGGGGGAGATATGGGGGGATATGGGGGGAGATGGGGGGGAGATGGGGGGATATGAGGGGGATATAGGAGGGGAGATGGGGGGGGAGATGGGGGAATGGGGAGAGATGGGGGGAATATGGGGGAGATGGGGGGGATGGGGGAGAGAGATGGGGGGGATATGGGGGGAGATGGGGGGTATGGGGGAGATGGGGGGGTATGGGGGGGAGATGGAGGTAGATGGGCGGGAGATGGGGGGGGGATATGGGGGGAGATGGGGAGGATATGGGGTGAATGGGGGATATAGGGGGAATGGGGGGAGATGGGGGGGAATATGGGGGGAGATGGGGGGATGGGGGAGAGATATGGGGGGAGATGGGGGGATATGGGGGGGATATGGGGGGGATATGGGGGGATATTGGGGGGATATGGGGGGATATTGGGGGGAGATGGGGGTAGATAGGGGAGGTATGGGGGGGATATGGGGGAGATGGGGAGGAGATGGGGTGAATGGGGGGATATAGGGGGGAGATGGGGGGGAATGGGGGGAGATGGGGGGGATTATAGGGCGGATGGGGGGGAGATGGGAGGAGATGGGGGGAATGGGGGCGATATGGGGGGGGAGATGGGGAATGGGGGGCATATGGGGTGGGATGGGGGGAGATGGGGGTATAGGGGGTGATATGGGGGGGAATGGGGGGCATATAGGGGGGATGGGGGGAGATGGGGGGATATAGGGGGTATAGGGGGGAATATAGGGGGGATGGGGGGATATAGGGGGCGATATGGGGGGCATATGGGGGAATGGGGGAGGGAAATGGGGGGGATATAGGGGGGATATGGGGATATAGGGGGGGATATAGGGGGGATATAGGGGGGGATTGCGGGGGATTATGGGGGGGATGTGGGGAGGATGGTGGGGATATGGGGGGGATATAGGGGGGAATGTGGGGGTATAGGGGGAATGGGATAATGGGGGAATGAGGAGGGATATGGGGGGGAATGGGGGGGATATGGGGGAATAAGGAGGGGATATAGGGGGGAATGGGGGGGATATAGGGGGGAATGAGGGCAGACATGGGGGTGAATGGGGGGTATATGGGGGGTATAGGGGAGATATAGGGGGATATGGGGGGGATATGGGGGGATACAGGGGGTTAAGGGGGAATAAGGGGGGAATGGGGGGGTATAGGTGGGAATGGGGGGAGATGGGGGGGTTTAGGGGGTGATATGGGGGGAATGGGGGGGATATAGGGGGGAAATGGGGGGCAATGGGGGGGATATAGGGGGTTTGGGGGTGGGATGGGGGGAATAGGGGGATACAGGGAGGGGATATAGGGTGGATATGGGGGGGGGAGATAGGGGGGAGATATAGGGGATATGGGGTGGGATATGGGGGGGCTGGGGGGGATGTGGGTGTGGGCTATGGGGTTTTGGGGGGGATGTGGGGTGGGATATGGGGTTTTGGGGGGGATGTGGGGTGGGATATGGGGTTTTGGGGGGGATGTGGGGTGGGATATGGGGTTTTGGGGGGTGGGGGGGGTACCTGTAGTCGAATTCCGGGTCCAGGCCCTCCAGGAAGCGCTGCTCCATGCGGGATAGGAACTCGGCACGGAGCAGCTCCCGCTCGGACGCGTCCGGGATGTGGGGCGGGGATGGGGGGTCCCCATCCTCATCTATGGGGCGGGGATGGATCAGAACCTGCCCCATAGCCATAGGGAGCCCCTGAATGCATTGGGATACCCTATATCCATAGGGACCCCGTTACACATAGGGACCCCGTTATCCCCATTGACCCCATTACCCCTATTGACACCATTACTCATAGGGACCCCGTAACGCCCCATTGCCCCATAACTCCCATCGCCCCCATTCCCCCCATTGCCACCATAACA